AAAAAAAAAAAAAAAAAGAGGAGGGAATGTAAGTAAGGTTGTTTTTTTTTTTAAATTTTAGATTCAGGGAGTACACCTGAGTGTTCGTTACATGGACATATTGTATAGGGATTGGGTCTCAGGTGGCCCATTTCCCAGATAGTGAACGTTGTGCCCCGTAGGTAGTTTCTGCGCCCTGACTCCCTCTTCTCCATAGGTTTTGATGCCTGAGAAAAGTGGGATAAAGACGTGCTGACATGTCTGAGCTTGGGCACGTTGTGGGTCTCATAGCTATATTTTCATCGGTAGACTGGACATAATGCCTGCCCCATGTGGGCTGGGGGGAGGCTAAATTTTGCAAACAATGTAAATAAACGAATGCTGTGTACAAACTCTAGGAGTCTTCTTAAGCAATGAAAGAAGAGCTAGCAGATATGGTTACTGATGGAGTCTTGGCAGGGAATGAACACCTGCCGTGTCTCCTGGGTGCTCTGGTAGACCCAGAGCTGGGCAAAATGGAGCCATCTTCTTGATCTCCACGGAGCTTTCAGCTTTTGGACTTGACCACAGATGGCTGTCATGTGGGAGATGATAAATGCTCTACGAAAGAAACAGTCTTCTGCCCTTGTCCCAGCCACAGTCACCTTTAGCCTGGACTTTGGCAATGGTGTACTTACTGTTCTTCCTCTGCGCATGGATTGATGACTGTGGTATTCCTCGTGGTCCTTAAGCACAGGGTCCCTGACTGTCTGCCGCTCCAACCTCTTCCCTAGCCCACGCAGACTCACTCTGACCAGGCACATTTCCATCAAAACGGCCACCTCTATCTGCTTCATCTGCACACCTGCCGCCCCCTTTCCTCAAACACTTCTCCTTACTTTCTGCCTGGCCACTTCCTACTCATTTGTCAGCCCTCAACCCAAACGCCACTTCATCAGAGGGGCTTTTCCGATCTCTCAGTCTAAATTATGTCTCTTTTGTTGGACTGTTGCCTCGTTTAATTCTTGCATCCCATGTTGCTAATGGAATGCGTATGTCGATCTGAATTGAATTCACTTGTGTGCGGTCCTTAAGGCTGCTTTTCCCTCTTGAGTAGCTGATATAATTTCCTCTTTATACTTGATATTCTACAATGTCGCTCTGATATGTCTAAGTTGTGTTTCCCTGTGTGGTTTTCTGTATAGTATTCTTTCATGACTTTTCTTAATACTGGAAGGCATAGCTACCAAATCTTCACAACTATCAAGGCTCTGTCTATTCTCTCTCTCTGGAATTGCTATATGGTCCATATAGGCATTTATGAGCTTTCTCCTCAACTCTGAACTTCCAAACAAACCAAACAGTACTCTCCAGTCCTTGTCGGTTAGCGTTATATCATGAGCCACCTTGCCTCCTCACTCTTTGCTTCATAGTAGCTCTTTCCCCTGGCCATCCTGTGGTTCAGCCTCTCCACAGAGGGTTTCATGCACAGGCCTCTCCTCAGTTCTTTTTTTTTTTTGAGTTGGAGTCTCAGTCTGTCGCCCAGACCGGAGTGCAGTGGCTGCTTCCGGCCACCGCAGCCTCGACCTGCTGG